GGCCAAGATCATCACATTCGACCAAAGCATTTCAAGAATGAAGAATTTGATTTTTGCTTCAACCTTAAGGATTAAGATAGAGCTTCATCTCCTAGTTTTTGAATTCAACTTAATCACTTGTAAAGCCCACCCCTTTGGCCAAACCTATGCTTATAATAGGCAAGGCCATTCACTTGTTTCATCATCCTTCTCTTCATTTATCTTCTTTCCTTTAGTTTCTAAGTTTCTTTAGTTTTTTATTTCTTTTAGTTAAGATATTGGCTTAGGTAATAGATTTGCCAATTATCAAGTTCTTTTTAAATCTTTTTCAATCAAGAAGTGTTTTCATTCAAAACTCTCTTTTCTTTTTTTCTTGTTTACAAATTCTTGTTTCTTGTTTTTTTTTAAAAAAAATTTTAGCTAAAGCATCATTTTCCAAGATTGATCCAAGTTTTCTTATTTTCTTTGCAAGGTTTGATTACATGTTATTTCTTGTTCTTTAATTTCTTTCATGCAATTTTTATTTACTTCAAAGCAATTTGGCATTGTTGTTTACAATCTTTAATTCTTTACTTTGCAATCTTTTAAGTTTAGGCTTTAGGATTAGTTGTTGACATTAATCTTTGCTCCCTAAGTGATAGTTGGTGAAATTTAGAACCCTGCCATACATTACCTTTAATCTTTACTTGATCCTATCTATTCAAACCCTATAACCCTAAAACCTTGAATATTTAATTGTTTAGGTATAAGGTCTTAGCCTTTTACCTTTGGTACTTATGAACTACCTAATATTATAATCTATAATCGCTAAGGAAATAATGCTTGAAATGCTCTTCATTATTACTTGATCTGTGCACTCGTAGACTTTATACAAAAAATAGTAATTATGAAGTTGGCATAAAACGAAACTAATTATTGTGTTTGTATGATCTTATTAATTAATCTTGGCTTTAGAGAGTTGAAAATATTTTAAATTCTATAGCTAATACTTTGTATATTGATACATAATTCCCTTCACCTTATGCTTTCCCTCCTAATTAGCTCATGCAACTTTATTACAAAGGTGACAAACAATTTAATGAGCTAAAAAGAACTGCTAAACAAGAAAATTATAAGGAATAAATCTTGAATTTAAATTCATTTAAGCTCAAATATGCTATGGAAGTAATGAAGAAAAATTAAGAAATTTTCCCAAAAGTGACAATTGAGCAAGTTCCACATTAAGTTCAACCAAATGATGATTTTAGCACTAAAATGCATCCAAAATGACTCCAAATTGGCATTTTTTCTCTTTTTTTTCATGTTTTTACCTACACATTGAATATTTAAACAAGTAAGAATATTTTTGCCCTATTTTCTCAAGGAACAACCAATAATTCACTATAAAATGCCATAAAAAGTTATGATAAATATAAAAAAAATATAAAGTTATCATGTATCACCATATTTGTCCTAAAATGTTCTAGATGATCAAAAGGATCAATTGTACCATCATTAGTTTAAATAGTCGATATTTTAAATCCTTTACGAGGTAGAGCTCGATCAATATCCTCAATGGATAGAGAAGTTTCCAAGAACTTGAGTTTGCCATCAAAGGTAAAAGCTTTCTTTTTGATTTGTTATCTATTACCTCCATTTGAACTTTCAAATTTTTGTTAGTTTGTGGTTCCAAGGTGGGCTATTTGGATTTTAAGGTGGTTTATGTTTTCGTGTTGGTCAAGTAATAGCTTATTGGTGTTTTTTCTTCTTTCGAAGTCGATGAACTATCTTACTATCATTGTAGGTTAGCAAATTTTAAGTTTAAAAAATTTTTTAGGTAGTTGCTATTAGTTCTTTGGAATTTTGGAAAGGTGTTATGTTATGAATAAGCTCTCTAAACGATTATAGTTGATGGGTTAAAGCTTTAAATTATTTTAGTGTGGGTATAATTAGTGTAGGTCAGTTTTGGTTAGGTTGGATAAGCTGAGTGTCAATATCAGCTGTAGTGGGTTGTTTCTCTCTTTTGCTACTCTTTTTCTAGAAGGAATTGTGAGCTCGACTATATGAAATGCCCCCTATCTGATGTGCCAAAATGTTGGTGTCAAGTTGATTGAAAAGGGTAAAAACCTGAAATCATAAGCACAAAGTCGAAGGTGTCTCTGGTATTTGTACTTCGATACTCAAGTTAGTGCTAAAGAGAGAAAGAATGGAATTTAGAGAGAAAGAAAGAGTGTGAGAATTGATTGCCCATACCCAGGATGAAAAGGTGTATTTAAACCTGAGAAGAGAAACGTCTAGATCTTGGTGACTCGAGCTGTTTGAGTCAAGTTAAAGGTTGGCAAAATTGACCTATCCTAACCTGGCAAGGGAAGAACCAATAAAAGGATGACTAATTAGCGTGTCCATGCATTATCAGGTGGGATGTTGAGCTAGCCAAACTGATGTGGACTTCGATAATTCAGGTCAACTCAACCCTAATGACTAAAATGTCTCTGATTTATTGATAAGTCACCTTCTTATGAAATGGAACCATTATAGCCTTTTGACTATAAAATGCCCCTTGTATAAACATTTTGTTATCATCATAAACAACATAAATATAGTCAACATGAAAGAAACTAAAAGACCTGAATAAGATGTTTGTCTAATCACTCACTTGGATTTCCAAGCTTATTAATAAATTTAGGTTAACAACTCATATACCTTTTTGCCCTTGTGCGGTTAACAATTCTTCTTACCACAAATCTGGTTCGTGGAATGGAATAAAGGAAAAGTAAAATCTGTGATAGATTCAGATTTTGTTTAAGTGTCTACTTATAATATATAAAAAACTACTAACAAATTTACTAATTTTGTTGATGAAATTTTGGGATATCCAAGGAATTTTTTTTCAAATTTTCTTGTTTTACAATTTTTTGAGGTGTCCAGCAAAAATTTCTTTTCAATTTTCTTATTTTACAATTTTTTTGTATAAAAGGTGGATCTGTCCTTGAATAGAATTGGTATTATGTGAGAATATAAAATACAAAGAATAGAATAAAATATATATTATGAAGTTTGGTTCACTAGAATAGAATGTAAGAGAAATTAGTATTAATATATTTTGTTAGTTCAAAAAATTTGGATGGAATAAGTTTAAAAGACCATTTTAGTCTTGTAATTTATTATAAAAAATTATTAATTAATAAAAATGATAAAAGTAATAATAATTTAATATAAATTTAAATATTAATTAACTAATATTACACTAATAATATTAAATATCAATTTTTAATTAATATTAATTTAATAATATAAAATAATAATTTAATAAATATTAATTAATTAACTTAATAATATTGTAATCTTTCGTATGATTTGAATAATATTTTAATATTAAGTATTAATCTAACAACATTTTAATATTATTTTATTAAAATTTTGATTATTAAATATTAATTCTTTAAATTTAATATTATTTCATATTACTTTAATAATATTTGAATAGTATTTTAATAATATATTGCTAAATATTAATTATTAATATTTTAAAATTATTTAATTAATTTAATAGTATTTTATTTTATTTTATTAAATTAATATTAATTAATTATCTAATTAAATATGTAAAAACAAAATTAGAATTAATTAGATATATAAAGATAAAATTATTTGATAAATATTATTCTTAATTCCTTATAAATAAAGAATTGTAATTTTTAAGGAGAATAAAAATTGTTATTCTTTATTTTTGAAGAACTGGTTATAAAATAATTAATTTTATTTAAAAAAAAAAAAACCAAACACTAGAATAGTAGCATCAACCATTTTGACTGTTGCCCATTTATTCCATTGTTCTCATCATAAACAACTTAGATAGAGTAACCGTTAAAGAAGCTAAGAGTCTAGTACAAGTGTCACGGGTCGAGACTTAAGTTCCGAACCCGCGCGGCTCCGGGACCCTAACATTCACCCTTCTGACGTCCCAGATCAACCTGACCGCCATAGTTCACACCCTTCTGAGCCGCGCGAGTTTGGAGTTTAAATCTCGAACCGTGACACAAGTATCTGTCTAATCATTCACTTGGGTTTCCGGGCTTATCAATAAATTGGGGTTGACAACTCTTACCATTCTACATTAGTGTGGTTAATAATTCTTCTTATTGTATTGCGAGGTCAAAGTGTTACGAATCGGCAATATGCACTTTGGTAACCTATGTAAACTTCTAAACCTTTCTGATGAAAAATAATGGAACACAATAAAGAAAAAAGTACATAATAAAAAATATAATTTTCGTCGTATTTTTATTTTATAAGTTAAAATCATATTTGATATATAAAATTATAGATAAAATAACATCATACAATAACACATTATACCTTATATCTCGTATTTTAAGATTAGTTGTATGAAAGACTAAATAAGGAAATCATATTTAGTTAAGAGTCTAAATTTTTTTCTGTCACTTATTTCTATCAATAATAATTTTTTAATTTAATTTATTAACCATCATATCATTTTTTATTACTTGCATCTATGTTTTTTGTAATTTATCTCTAGAAGTTTTGATTTCTCCTAAATTTAAAGATTTAATTCTCCTAACCGATGCACAAATAATTTTACATTTCATATATCCAACCATCTCGAATGGCTCTATCTCATCTTTTCTTCAATTCGAACTATCTCTAATATTTTTTAAATCTCTTCATTTATGATTTTGTCTCTTATAGTCTTGCCACATATCTCTCTAAGCATCATCTCCGCTAAGTTTATTTAGTCTCGTATTGTTTTTTAACAACCCAACATTCAGTTTCATATTATGTTTGATTTATATCTAATTGAAAGGGATAAGATTACAAGGAGGATTATCAGATGATTCAATTTTTCAAAATGAAGATTATTATTTTAATCTATGAGATTAAACTCATATGTCTTATTATACCCGTAAAAGTTATATTAATAATTTAAATTATATAAATTTTGAAAAAAAAATAATTTTAACTAACAAATAAATTATTTTATTTTAATCTTTGCAGATATCAAACATAAAATAAAATAATATTATTTAATCTAATCTTATTTATAATATTATTTTATTTTATCCTCCCATAATTTTGTGCACCAAACGTTACCTAAATGACTACAATAAGAGGTGTGGTTGAGGTATACAAGTACAAACTGGGTATTATGATTGAGAGATGTTTACAAAAATCAAATAGCAAGCAACTGTACTGACCATGTTTGAGACAGAAGAAAAAAAAAACAGGGTTGACGAAGCAGCTATAATATTGCAAAAACTCTCCTGGAGAAGAAAGTTGACCAAATAAAAGAGAGTGGGGGTCAGTTCTTAACCTTTAACTCTTCGTTTGGTACCTCAGTAATCACAGTTATGACAGCTTTTTCAGTTGGAACTTGGTCAGAATGCTGCAGAGGCTCCAATGAATCTACTATATCTCGCATTAGAGGCCTTGCTTTGGGATTCCGATTCAAGCAATGATAAACTAGCATGGAAGCTTTGTGTACCCCTTTGATGGAATAATCTCCTTCTAATCTTGGATCTATTATGTTGACTAATTTCTTCTTCTCTTTAAGTAGAGGTAGAGCCCATTCGGTGAGGTTCTGTTCACGGGCTGGCCGTGACTTGTCTAAGGATTTCCTTCCTGTCAGAAGTTCAAGAAGAACAACACCAAAGCTGTACACATCACTTCGAGGAGTCAGATGTCCTGCACAAAATCAGATGCTACTGTGATGACGGAGTAAAAACAAAATCAAAACCAAAACTCAATTATTCTATTGGATTTGGATTGCAATTGGCTTCTAGGGGTTAGATAACCTGATCAGCTCATAAGTTACCTCTGAGATGGATTGGTTTTCAATCCCACGCAAACATATAGTAGCTTAGTTTGCTATTAATTCTTTGTATGATAGTAATTCAAAATCCATTGGAGAAGAAAGTTGCAGTCACATGACATCCATCCTTAAGAAAGCTTACCAGTCATGATGTACTCAGGTGCTGCATAGCCATATGTTCCCATTATGCGAGTGGAAACATGAGATTTGTCTCCCACCGGTCCATCTTTCGCAAGCCCAAAATCAGAGAGCTTGGCGTTGTAATCCTGTTTATACATCAAAGGAATTATAAATGTAAGTTAAGGCCCTAACGGCAATAACTAGAAGTGATTAGCAAACTTTTTGCTAAAAAAGCAAGCAGAATTTTTTTGCATTTTCTTTTATAAATGTAAGCATAGTATTTTGTGTTTGTTGAACCAAGAGAGAATGCTTATATGCCTGGAGTTGTGTATGGGTATGGGTATGTGAGAATATGTTTGTCTGTGTGCTCATGTTTGTTTGGATGGAAGACCATTTTATGGACTTTGATGATGACGTGTATGTTGCTTGTAATTTCTCTATAATTAATGAATTTTTTTTTTTCGTTCGTGGATGCAAGCAAGTTGAAGTGCTGTTAAATTCTTATCAATTGTGTGTTTCGAACTTCCATATTGTTGAATATTAATTGATTGGGAGATTTTCAATATATTAAGTTGTTAACTATACGTTCTTGAGGTTTCTGTACAAGTGGTTTATCAATTAGCTCCTAGAGTTTAGTAAGATAGAGGTTCCTAGTTACCGTGCATGTATTATTGGTCATTGTTGAAGCAATATAATTTCTTGTTTGCTGGCCCAAAAATAATAAAAAAAAGGGTACTAACCAGGTCCAATAGAATATTAGATGTCTTAAAATCGCGGTAGATGACGGGTTTCTCTGCTTCATGGAGAAAGGCAAGTCCTTTAGCAGCACCAAATGCAATCTTCATTCTAGTTGACCATGGAAGAGGAAGCAATACTCCTGTAACAATGGATTTTTCCATTAGACAGAGATAAAATAAGCAAAACTGCACGAACACTACGCCTACCAAGATATATGAATAAGTCCAGTCACATTAGCAACAGCAGGTTCTGGTATTATATCAAAATAACTTTACCTCTCAATTTTGTTGGCCTTACAATGCTATAGAGAAACTAGATGTGATCCTCTTAAAACCAACAGCATTTCACCTGTAATTGTTTTTTATTACAATCCTACAATTGTCCAATCACAATAAAGAATAATGTAAAGATCTATCATTATAAGTTTGGAGTCCTTCTCAAATTTTGATAGATCCTACCTAATTCTGAATTGCAATTGGACAATGTAATGCAACAATTGTAGGCGATATACTCCACTATAACCATTTAGAACCTCTGAGGCCTTTGTTCTATCACCTTGCTTTATAACAGGAGGTTTATTTTATCTAATACACATTGCTAGAAACCATATGCCTTTCTTTTAATTGCTTTGAACCCTGATTAACATACTAAATTACTACCTTAAAGGCTAATTTCTTTGTTCAATATAAATGCGATTTGGCTAAGAATGATGAACATATTCCATTCGTTGCTGGGAATTGGAGTTACTCGTGTTAGCCTAACCAAGTGGTATTCTTTTGTTGTATGTTTGGTGAAAAGTCACTTCATTGTATTTCCTTTCCAGGATATATTTTCAAGGTTCCTACAATGGCACGGATTGCTTATATTTAGTGATGAACTCTACTTACTTGAAAAAAGATTGTTTTCCACACTGCCACGAGCCATATACTCGTATATTAGTACACGGTGGTCATCTTCGCAGCAGTACCCAATTAGTTTGACCAAATTTGGATGAGAAAGCTGCCCCAGGAATATGACCTCTGCCTAGCAGTCCGGGAAGCTTTTCACTGATCTTTCTTTTGTCACAGAAATGAAAAACGAAAACCGAAAGAAAAAAAACAAAAAATAAATAAAAAGGAAAACGAAAAGGATGTAAGAGTACCAGCCATTCCCTGTGTCCTTGATAACTGTTATCACCGTCATGCACCTTTACAGCAACAGGAAAGGGCTGAAGCTCAAGCTGAAGCTGAAGCCCCTCCCTCAAGTCCTCGGAAATGAAGCCTTTATAAACACTTCCGAAACCTCCTCCACCCAACACACGGTCTTGCCTAAAATTTCCTGTGATAATCTTCAACTCTTCAAACGTGAATGCGATCAACGGATTCACAGCAGAATCACGACGTAAGTCTTCTACTTCTTTGGGATTTGAGGGCAACTTACTGTCATCCCTCCTTTGTTTTTCTGAGGGACTCTGGTCTTTGGGAGACTCTGAGAAACGAATATATGTATAAATATGATTCTTTTTTAAGGGGAAAAAAAAAAAAAGAAACCCGTTACATAAGTTTCATTAATGAAAAAGAAAATCAAACAAACCTGATTTAGCATTAGATGAGACTCTGTAAATGGAAGGCTCCCACTTACACCAGCAATTCCCCATTATAGCAAAATCCAGAAGGAAGCCAAAGAAACCAACTTACCTCACAAACAACGCCTCATCAAAACCTAATTTATTTGAAGTTCTCTTTGATTCTTTACTAGTAAAAAGAAAAAAAAAATAAAACCCAAATCAGGAAAGACAAAGAAGACTCTGTTATCAAGAAGACCCAGCAATGTTATGCGAATCGCAAAAATGTAGATGAGAGAGAGGAAGAGAAATTCTTAATGGCAATGATGGGATGAATGTTGAGGTGGGGGCTCGTTCTTGGCTATGGCGGAAACGGGCCCACGGGGAGGAGAAGAGTTTTGCTGTTGTGTTTGGTTGGTCCTGGCTCAGAATATTCATTTTCTTTTGTTTTCTTTTGTAGCTTTTGCGCGCATTTTAATGGATCCCACCAATCTTTTTCTATCGCTGTTCGCTGAATCAAAATATAGCTTTTTCCCTTGCCCTCGGCGTGCGTCTTCTCTTTGTACTCTCCGTAATCCTTTTGCTCATGTTCCTACGCGCTAACAATCGTACTTCAAATTACAAGACCATCCATGCTCAAAAACAAAATTACAATACCATCCATCACCCGACTCCACTTCAGCCGAATGAACTTTGCAACCACCTTACCTATCGTATTTTCTTCTTTCTTTATATAACATATATATATATATATATATACACACACATATATATTATTAATTATTTATTATTATATATTTTAACTAATTTGTGATTAGTATGATATATGAATTATTTTTATTTATTTATATTTATATAAAAATATAAATTAATATTATTTAATCACTTACATATTTAAAATATATATAATATATATTACAATTAAGACATCTAATAATAATAAATTGATTATAAATATTTTTTGAATTTAAAAATATATAATAAATGATATTTGTGTTTTTGAATTAAAAAAAAAACTAAAATATTATAAAGAAAGTTACCAAAGTAAAAATATCCATTGAAAAATTTTAAATTTAAAAAAAAATATCTCTAAGTAAAATTTCAATCAAATAAGATTAACTTTTAAAGTTTTATATTTTTATTAGAACTTACTGAGATTTTTTATTTAAAAAAAAATCCTAGAGAATTAATCATAAATAATTTAGGTAAGATTTTATTTTTAAAAAAAATTAATATTTGAATTTAAGTAATATATAATTAGTATTGTCCATGTGTAAAAAAAAAAAACAAAAATGTCCATCAAGCGTCCACATGATAAATTTTATCAAAATATCTTTTGTATACTATAATACAATATAATAAATATATATGATGCTACAAGGAGTACACTCATTTCTTAAGCGAGTTGGTCCATTACTTAATTTTCTCCACCAACTAGAACAATTTACATCTCCTTGTCAATCTGAGACATTAATAAAATTTTTTTTCTTTTTAATGATTACCAATTCTGCTATGGATGTTGACACGGTAATTAGTAGTTTTTTAATTTGAATAATTTTGAGTTTAGATTATTTTAAATTTGAATCATTTCAAATTTGAATTAGATGTTTTTAAATTGGCTTAATATCCAAATAAACCTTCAAAATTTATTAAAGAAAGCAAACAAGCTTTTAACTTTTTAATGCATATTGCATGAAATTAGAGTTATGAATTTTTATTTATTATAATTATATCCATTAAATCTTAATAATGGATGAATTATGTCCAATTAATAAAATTTTAAAAATATCATTCCTCAAATATTTGTGATGGCTTAATATCCAAACCCTCAAATTTTACTTTAAAATGCAAGTAAGCTCTTGATATTTTATTGTATGAAATTAAAATTATGAACTTTTATTTTATTGTAATTATACCCATTAGATCTTAAAATTAGATAAATAATGTCCAATCGATGGAATTTTAAAAATAGTACTCTCTTAAATATTTATCATTTAATTCATCCAAATAAATTTAAGTAAATATTTTCTACAAATTAAATCATTGAATTAAAAAATTTTAAACAAAAAATTGACTATTTTATACCATTAACGTTCTAATTAGGGGTGTAAATGATATATTAGTACTCGCAAGCTACTTGAGTTTGATTCGAAGAAAACTCGAATTCGGTTCGATTATTATCGAATCGAGCTCGAACTCGAGTAGCTCGACTTATCAATCGAGTCGAATTCGAGTATTATTATATCCGGCTCGAATAGCTCGCGAGCCTAATCGAGCTTTTATATTTAAATATATTTTTATTATTTTAATTAATAAAATATTTCGAATCCGAGTTCGAGTTCGAGTTCGAGCATGAATAATCGAACTCTTGTCAAGTATAATCGAGCTTATTTTTACATATTAATCGAGCTTAATCGAGTGAGCTCGAGTAGTTCGAATTCGATCACGAATCGAGCTCGAGCTTGAAAAATAAAACTTGATCGAGCTCGAGCCGAGTATCGAGCTCTGAATTATGAGTCGAGCTCGAGCTCGAGCTTCTCACTACTCAGCTCGATTCGACTCGATTACACCCTTAGTTTTAATTACAATAAAATAGAAGTCCATATCCCTTATTTCATGCAATAAAAGACTAAGGATTTATTTGTATTTAAGAGTAAAGTTTGAGGGCTTATTTAAGTATTATCCCTATTTTTTATTAAGTTCATCCAAATAAATTTAAGTAAGCATTTTTTTACAAATTAAATTATCTAATTAAAAAATTAAAAAAATTAAATATTTTATACCTTCAAGGTTTTGATTATAATAAAATAAAAATTTATAATCTTCATTTCATGTAATAAAAGATCAAAAACTTATTTTCATTTTAATAAAGTTTGATTGTTTATTTGGATATTATAGGTTCAGGTAGTCTTAAGTTTGAACCATTTTAAATTCAAATCATTTTAACTTTGAATAATTTTGAATTTAGACAGACTAGAGTTGATTTTGGTATTCAAATTTTGTTAAGGGTATTTTATGGTCATAAGGTACTGTGGACTTTTTTCTTCTAGAGAGAGACTCATCAATTAAAGTAAAGGTAATCTTGTCATTTTGATTCAAGCTAATACGTCAGGTCAACTTGAAATCTTGAAACCTATGTCAATTTAGCTACTTTAACTTACCACCAGAAGACATATGGGACTGCTGATTTGTCACTCTTTAATTGGACTATGGACTACCAAGTCAAGTCAGGCTAGAAATGTTAAACCCAAACTCGCCATTCAAAACTTAAGCCACCCAAGTATAACAATCTCACCCTACATGTATAAATAGCTCCTTTCGCACCAAGTAGAGGCATTCAATTCCTTTATCTCTCTTTTTAAGTTTTCTCTCCTCCTCTCTCTTTTTGAGCATTGACTGAGTGTTGGAGCATAAACATCAAATAAATATCTGACCTTTGCTTCTTATTGATCTCTAAATTTGTGATTTCAGGTTATTACCCTCGTCGAGCAACTTGGCACCAACATTTTTGTTGTGTCAGGTAGGGAACCTTTGTCCATTTAGCATAGTTAATCATGGCACCTAGGAAAAGTGTTGTTGAAAAGAGTTAACATTGCTATAGCTAGAATTGATACCTAGCTTAACTAGCCAAACCCTGACAAACCTACATAAATGGCCTTAAGCGATCACCCAACAATTACAATCCTTAAAAGAAATTATTCAAAACCTAACTCCTCCATAGACCTCAAAAGAACCAGAGCTACAACTTCAAGAAACTCACCAATATAGAAAGACTAACTTACAATGATAATGCTACTTTGTCGATCTCTAAAAAAGATGAAACCATTAAAATTTATTATCCTACAAACACCCAAACACAAACCATCTAAAAATTCAAACAAGTCATCTCGGAACCATAACTTAATAAAGACTTGAAAGTTTAAATAGAGGCGATGGAGAAAGAGCTAAAGAACAAAATCTCCACCTTCGATGACACATTTAAGTTCTTGAAAACGTTTAATTTTTTTTAACTATAAAACTTTAAGTTTTTTTTATTTCATTTCAGCTTATTATTAAAAAAAATTGTTTCTTTCCTTCATATGCTAGATGCCCCCACATTAGCCTTGCCTAGTTCTGGCATCAACTCACCATGCCGCTAGCTATCGATCTTTTTTTTAGTGTCGATCTACTTTTTCTGGTCGTTGTTCCCATCTTCTCATTCATTTACTTTTTTTTTCTTGTAAGCTAAGATTAATTTTATTTTTTGGTTTTTATCTTCACAAGGATGCTTAGCATTAAGGTTCCTCCCACGATGAGGACTATTATTTTTTTTTTTGTTTTGGCTAGCTTGGGTTGGATTTTGGTGGTTTTTAGTTATCGCTAATTTTTTTGTTGGTTTTTTTTTTTGAATGATTTTTTTGGTGGTAAACGTTTGGTGATGGTGTTGGGGGTAGAGGCTTGGTGTAGTATCAATCTTGGCATGGTAAGGAAATGGGTGCTGAAGCTTGGGGTTTAGGATGTGCTGAACTTTGGAAAAAAGGTTACGATTTTAGGCTAATGTTCTAACAGGTTTTAAGGATGACTATTGGGTACAAGTAATTTTTCTTGTGGGGCTAGAGTTAGGGCTATTTAAAGGGAGTTTTGATGAAATTAAGGGGGGATTGGCAAAGGCTAGGTTGGGTGATTTGGGTTTTTGGTGTGGCACAGGGGATTTAGGTTTATAAAAAGTGCATTGGTGATCAAGACTGGGGTTAAGCTGGGTGAAGATGAATTTTGGTATTCGTCAGGATTGAGGTTAGGTGATTAAGGTTGGATCCATGTGTGAAGTCTGGGGACTAAACTGGGGAACAGACAGGTGGTGTGGCCTTGGTGCATGTACTAGTTGGTGCTATAATAGGTTTCAAACTAGGTTCGTGTGGGGGTCGATCAAAGGTGGAGATAGGTGTTTGAGGCTGGAGTTAAGGACTGAAGATGTGACAAAAAAGGGGTTGGTGCTATTTGGATTAATGGGTGCTTAAGGCTAGCAGGGTGAAGAATGGTGTAGGGTTTGGGTTTGAAGGAATAGGTCATTTATGCTTCATTCAAGGGCTTCTCCTTCTGGTGTTCGGTCTCTTAGCTTTTAATCTATCAAATTTTTTTATTGTTTTGCAATAAAAAATAGCTTTCACCACTTATGGCATAGGGTAGGCAGGGTGTTTGTGAGGCTTGGTCTTGGCCTAGTACGTAAAGGCCAGATAGGATTTGTAATGGTTATCGGCCAGTTCTTCTAATTTTAGTTTCCTTCTATTTTTGTTTGTTTCTTGCTTTTTTTGGCTTAATTGTAATAATAATAATAATAATAATAATATAATTATTTATTTGTATATTTATTTGAAAATTTTTAATTAATTTAATTAATTCTAAAAAATCAATAAAATTAAAAATAATTAATTCAGAACAAGTTCTAACAAACCCAATCTAATTTAACACTTAAATCAGATCAAATAAAAATGTGTAAATTGTGCTTCAAAAATCAAGCAAATTCAAATCAACCTAGACAAAATTGAGTGTTTATAGTTGCCCCTGTTTGCACATTTCTAAGAATCAAAAATAGAGCAAAGACATAGAAATAATTTTATCCAGAGTTAACGATTCAAAGTTTTTCAAAAGATTTTTTTTATTTTTTATTTTTGTTTTTGTAAGTGGCTTCCCCTAAACAGAGGGTTTGAAGCTTGAAAAAAAAATCTTGT